TTTATTTTGATGTACTTTTTTAAAATAAATAAACTTCAATTAATAATAACAATAATAATAATAATAATAACAATAATAATAATAATAATAATAATAACAATAATTGGTTTTTTGATTATGAATATAAATGAGGTTAAGACTAATCATAAGTGTCGAAGAAAAGATTTGCAGAAGTGCAAAAACAATGGAAATAGAAAAAGTTTGCAATACTGTTCGAGGGATTGCACTTTCACCTTTTCAGTCTATCAAAACAACTTTCAGGCAATTTAAGTTTTTGTATTAATTACAATATAATTCAAAAATTTTTGGGATTCACATTATTTATGCGCGAATAACAAATACATTGCAATTGCCATACAATAGTTAGAAAGTCTATAATTCTGCAAAAATACAGTACAAATTTTTATGAATTATGCATTTTCTATAAACTTATATTAATAATTTTGCTGTGTTTCCAGATAGAATATGCATATTAGTGGAAAAATTTAATTTTTTTAAGTAGAAGGAAAAATTTGAAGGGAAAATTATGAGCTGGGCTTGGAAGCAGCTGGTTCAGCTTTTGCTGTGTTTCAAGATGGAAAATTAGTAGTAGATTTATATGGGGGATATTCTGATGTCGATAAAAGAATACCTTGGCAGTATGATACTTTGACCGTTTTTTTCTCAGCTACGAAGGTCACAATTACTTTGTTATAACAGACATTAATATTTTTTACTTGTTTGTATTTTTACGATATCTAAACTTAATAAAATTTGCAATGTAATTAAGCAACATTTTTTGATAAAAATTATGAATAATAATTGAATTAAAAAGTATTTTTGTTATAGAGTTTGACTTCAATTGTATTAGCCATGTTAATAAGTCAGAAACTTGCTAGTTACGATGATTTTGTATGCACTTATTGGCCAGAATTTGCTTCATATGGAAAAAATGGAATTACAATTAAAGTGAGTAAAAAGTTTAAAGTCAAAGGTTAACTTTTGCTTTTATGTTTTCAATTTCAAATTTAAAGAATTTAATAATGACTGGTTGAAATATTTAATTTATTTAGCATGTTGTTCAACATCAAGCAGGATTACCTTACGGTAATAAAATGCTTAATATTGATGATGTAATGATTGCCGAAAATATGTCAAAAGTATTAGAACAAATGGTACCACTGTGGAAACCTGGCACTACATGTGGATATCACGCACTTACTTTTGGCTTCCTTGTTGATCAAATAGTTCGACGTATTGACGTGAAAAAACGTGGAGTTGCATGCATTTTACGTGAAGAAATTTTACTTAAACATGGTACATTATACGAATAATAAAAGATGTCGTGAAAAAAATTTTTACGATAATTATATTCAATGTTATTAGGTATTGAAGATATTTTTATTGGTTTACCAAATATCCAAATGAATTCACGTGTAACTCAAATTGTGGAACTATCTGAAAAAGCTTTGAAACTGGAAAAACTATTAAATCCAGAAGGAGTAAGATTATCACTTTTAACTCATAATGAACCATATCGATGCTTATACGACACGTGGCCATGGATTAAACTTTCTGAGGTAATCGTTTTGCAAATAATTTTTTCAATTTTCGTTTTTTAAAGTTTACAAACCTCTCAGCAAATGACAAATTCATAAAATTACCCATGAAAAGTGTCATATTTTTTAATGATAGCAACTTCAAAGATCACTTATTTTTGATTCAATCAATAATCTATTAATTATGCATAAAATAATTTTTTTGATAGTATAATAATCCAAAAAAACGCTGTCTACAAATGCCATCAAATATGGGAATTGGTACTGCTCGAGGACTTGCTAAAGTTCATTCTTTAGTAGTTCAGGGAGATTTAATATCAAATGATGTTTTAAAATTAATATCTGTACCTCAACTCATCAACACTATGGATATTATCAATGGATATTCAGAGACAAAAGGATTTGGCTGGCAATATAATAAAAACAAATTGGCATGCAAATTTATCCCTACATTCGATTACTTTTACTTATCAGATTTTATTTTGAAAATAATTATAATATAAAAATGATAATTGAAATAATATTTTACTAACTTTATTATCTAAATTTGCTTAATTTTGCTGATATGAATATTTTTGCGCAATTTTTATTGATATTCTTTAGGTTTACTGTGACACTAAGAAACAAGTTTGTAATGATTTCAGTTTTCCAGTATTACAAATGATAACTTATCTGATTATAGAATAATTAACTTTGACTAGTTCTTGAGTGAATCTATAATCTGAATCATGTGATTATTCGATTTAATATTCGATTAAATAGTTAGAATCTCATCTTAACTTTTTTTTACCTTCTAAATATTCAATAATTCTAGTAAAATTAATGTGAAAATTTGCATTTAAACTTTATGAGATTACAAGTATTATTATTCACAAATATATTCAATGTTGCAGGGGAAATGGAATATCGGTCACTCAGGGCAAGGAGGTCAAAATGTACGAATGGACCTCGACAATAAACTAGCTTATGCTTATCTGTGCAATGGACTCAAAGCATGCGATTCAGATCATGTTTATACATTTCGCAGACTTCAGGATACATTATATCAGTGCATATAATCTTTTTCGGTTTTCTCGATTAATTTCCAAAAAGATCGATTATTTTCTAATATTTTAGATTATCTTTTTAATAATTTGGCAATTTATAAAATTTAAAATTGAGAATAATTTGATTAATTATTACAGAACAAAAATAATATTTAAATTAATTGCTTTTAAGTTACAAAAATGATTGCTTTTTTCAGTAAATTTATATTTTAGAAAATTTTTAGACAAAATTTTGCTTACTTTCAAAATTTTTATATTTTAGCATAAATTAATATATATTTCGCATTATACATTTTCTACACAATTTTTATTATTACTGCAGTGTTATTTTTATAAAGCTATAAAGGTAATGCTCTGAAAATGCCAATTTATTTTGTACATAAAATTATGAAAGCTATCTATATTTGACCTTTCCGGAATTTCGAAAAGTTTTTAAAAGGTCATACTATGTACAGAATAAATTATTGTCGCCTACCCGTCCAATTTAAACATTTATGATCTATTTTAGGCAACTATTCTCTTGAGATTTATCATTTTTTCATCCTGTTTCTAGTCCACTTTAATGAACACGTTTTTCTCTCGATCTCTCAATATTCACTCTCTCTCTAATTTTTCTCAATCTCTGCTCCATTTGTTTATGTTCCTTAGTTTTTTCTTTTCCTTCAGTGTTTTCTAAAAGTGTCTCATAATTTTCATGATCTTTTCCACTTATTTATTTGTGCTTTGTTATTTTTGATGTTAATTGTACATTTTCGCGAAGTAACCACAGTAATATGGGACGCTCATTATTCATGCCAAATTACTTCATTATGATTAAGTTTGAAAATATTGAAATACATTGCAGTTATTTTGAAAAATATATCAGCAAATTTTATGTAATTATTGAGATTTTGTGTCTAAATTGTCCCCTTACTAATTTGAATTAAAAATGATATGCACGTTTTTCTATACGTATCAGTAAATTGATTCTTTCGTTCGTTGCGTCACGTGAGTCACGTGAGTATGGTGAATAGAAAGACTTCCGTGCAGTAGTAATAAAATAAAAATAACAAACTTGCAATTGGTCCTCAAATATTATTAAAAAATATTTAATGAAGAATTTGTCAAGCCATAAAGCAAAATTTTTCTCGAACTCGTCTTACTGACTGTATCTCTGAAAGTTCGACAGTTTGAGGAAATTAACTTGCTTCATAAACTCAATAATTTTTTCAGATTATTTTGTACGCAGATGGAAAAAGATTCAGTTGAAGATTTACGCTTGCCGCAAACTGTAATTGGTCGGTTAGTGAAAGAAGCATTACCATCCGGAGTGGTTGTTTCTAAAGTATGTTTTAAGTCTAAGATAACTTTCATTCGTCACAGTTTTTTTCACTTCTCTAGTTATTACTAAATTAGCAGTGCATTTTAATATATGATTTTTATGTTTCTGTTATTGTCAGAATTGTTTCTTCAGATCGCAAAACTTTTTGACGATTACAACAGACTAAATAATAAAATAAAGTGATTGGAGGTTATAATTTTAGGAAGCTCGGACAGCAATAGCACGTGCTGCAGCAGTTTTTATTTTGCATGCAGCAACGTATGCTCAAGAAAGTGCGATATCTAATAAACGAAAAACTGTTACTGCAGTGGATATTCTCAATGCTATAAAAGTTTTGGAATGCAGTGAGTTGGAAAAACCGGTATTGAGAAAATTTGCTCTAAAGTATATGCGTTTAAGGTTTCTTTTATTGGTTGAGTAATGTCATGATATCGTTTATTTTCACTGCTATTTCTTCTTCATTATTTGACGAATAATGTCAAGAAATAAAAAGTAGTTATGGTTTATCCTAGGTAAAAGAAGCGCTTGAACTTTGGAAAACAAATAAACAGCAAAAAAGCGAAGCAAGAAAGCGAAAAGCTGAACGTACACAAAATACAGATTCTGCTCAACTAGAAACTTCGAAAGCTGATGTGCAAATGGACGGAGTTTCTTCGCACATTTCTGATTTATCAGATGATAACGTTGCTATGAATGTAAAGGAAGTAAATACATCTGACCTGAAAAAAAAATGAAAGATGAGGAAATAAAATATCTGCCAGATAATACATATTGTTTTTTGAGGGATATTTTTTTTGTTTATATTTGCAAAACTGTTACGAAAATTTTGAGTCTGTAATGCTACATATTATTTTTAGTTGAGATCTTTCTGTCTCAAAAATTATTACTAGAAATGTAAGACTGAAGCATGGAGGTGTTCGGTCACAATAACTCTTTGCTTCTTATATGTGTATGCTTAAACTATTTTGCTAGCTTATTCTTCCACTTGTCAGCTTGCCTCAATAGTGATTTCAGTGAATTCGTTAGATTTTGATCGAACGATTTTCATCTTGTCTAGAATTTTATCACTTTCATTTGAATGTAAATGGTAAAACTTGTAAACATTGAAAATGAAAATACTACCCTGCAGAAATTTAGGATGCATTGCTACATATGATTTTTATCATCACTGTTGTAATTGTATTGTCAAGAATATTTCAAGCATTATATTCCGGGCCAATTTTGTTTTTAATTGTTCGTATTCCCTGGAGAGACCTCACAGTAAACATTGTGCAACTTTGAATGGTTGTTATGACATATGTAACTTATGTTAGAAGTGCGGTCCGTTTAAGCGCATCAAATTTTGATGAAAATTATGTAAAACGCAGGGGGTGTTCTGCATGAAATGAAATATGTGTATTTGACAAACGATCACAATATCTTAGTGGTTTATTTACTTGCTTAGATTAGATTAGACCTTGATGTGCGGGTGTCGTTCATGTCTGTAATATATATGCTAATTAACGTAAGTGCCAAGATTTTGATAATCTTGTATGTCTGAGCATGGTATTAAACAGAACGCATGATATACATGGTCAAGTCTTCTGTCAATCCAGTTTGTAATGTAAGTAGAAATGGTCAGTCTGAAAGTGAGAAGTCATGTCTTCTCTAAAAATCGTCCAGTGGTTTTTTTATTGGTTCGAAAACTTCCACTGCAATTAGTCTTCCGGAAGATGTGGAATATTGCGCACATTGGTATTTGTAATTGCCTCGCTGGAAAAGTTCATTCTCTTTATAAGGCAGTTCATTTCCATAATTTGTACTATATCGCATCTCATACAATTTGTTAATAAAGTACCTATAATAAGGAAAGTGTTGAGCAGATAAGTTTGAGATAAATATTCACTTCTGGTGCTAATACAATAATGGAAATTATTATTTGTACTTAAGCGTACAACACTGTCCTTCGAAATAAGAGTACAATTCATAGGACTGCA